TAAATAAAAGAAAAAAAACAGGCAGTAATCTCTTTCTTCTACTTTTATTTTTATATTATGAGAGAGCACTATTGAATGTAAATAAATTCATTTCAGTAAAATCGCTGGTGAAGCTAGACGTGTAGACCAACCTCTGAGGAAGATGCGTTACAGAGTACCATATTTCTTGAGACAACAGAGGTTCCATGCCTCGACTCATTTAATACCAGGTAACACAAACCCTACAGATTATAATGCAAAAATACTGCAGTGGCAGGAGGAAGGCATGTGGAATAAGACTCTGTGACCTAAGAGAAATAAAAGCTGCAGAGATCAGTTTTTATGTAGGAGCCCTGTGGGCCCCCTTCAGCGTCCTTAATTTAGTCTTCCTCATCTCTGATCCGTTCTAACAGTCCTCTGTGGGATGGAGATCTAATATCTAGGAAGTCTGGGGTTCTGGCTGACCTGTCAGAAAGAGCAGTGGATGGCTGCTCCCTGTTTACTGCTGTATCGCTTTGCTTTTCAGATTCAGCACAATAAACAACAAAACCTGACACTATTTTATGAACCTGAATGATACGATTTAAAACCTCTAGAGGTCCGGCTAATGGAGAGCATCTTCCCAGCAGCTGCATTCTGCTAAGTGCCAGTGACACCTGCTGGATCCTCTTCCCCATAACCCCCCCTCGTCCCACCACCGCCAGCTCGGTAGGTGTTTTATCTGGACAGGGGGGACCTTCTGGGGCACTAAATCCCCCAGAAAGACACGTGGGAACATGAAATAAATCTGGGTGGCTCTTTCCTGTTGCAGGAAGGCAAAAGTTGTCTTTATGTGCATGTTACCTCCTCCAACAGTCATGCAGGTTTACTTCCACCATATACCAAGGCCTGGCCTCTCCTTTTGCCTTTGACATCCTTCCAGAGGAGCTGTACTAAAACACAGCATATTTCCACAGGGAAAAGTCCTGAGTGGGCACTGAAATGGGACCCCATTACACATTGTTCATCTGTCACCTAATCTCTGTGAAAAATACAGTCTAACATTCCTCCTCTCACCTTGAAGCCACCTAAGAAGACTGAAGGAGAAAGCAAGTGACCACTGGAAGAGGTCTGAGAAGCCCTCACTTCTTATATTACAATATATGATAACAACTGTAAATGTACGTTGTAGTATATACTACCTGTGAATGCACACTTACAGTGTTTAGAGTTGCAACTTCTTCAGAACACACTGGGAAAGGTTCATTTGTGGGACATCAGCAGCCCCCAAAAGAGTGCTGATGAAGTCTTGTGACGACACTAACGAAGACTTGTCCATTTTTCTCTCTCTGCTATTTTCTCGCAATCTGTAGCATCGCCAAGCGCCGGCACTCCACGCCCTGCAAATTAGGGCAGGGATGGTGCAAGGCATTGGCCTGCCCTGGTGCATCCCACCCACCATCCAGCATCGCTGGGCCTGCATTCCCCAAAAAGGGACCTGGCCACTGAGGAGACTTGCTGGAGCGGGACACGGAGGGAAAACCCCTCAGGGTGCTCCCAGCCCCGTGACAGGGCGCCACATGCATAGGCCTCAATGCAGTGCCCTGTGGCAACTGAGGCAGCGTGTGCAGCCCCCATCGGGGAACCGAACTCCCGGTGAGGGGCTGGGATGGGGACAAGGCGACACCGGGGCCAACACCTCCTCAGTGGGCCCGCCAGGAGGAGGGCCGTGCGACCCGCCCAACATGGCGCCAGCCCTTCGCCACCCGCCCCAACATCCGGGTTTCCGCCTGACCTTCCTCCCGTGAGCCTCAGCGGCCCGTCCTTTCCCGGCTTCCCCCGCGGCGGAGCAGAGCAGCAGCGGCAAGATGGCGCAGCCGCCGGGTGAGTGAGGCGGGACGCCAAGGTGACCGCGGTTTTCTCCCTCCCTTCCCCTCTGACCGGGCTGTCTCTCTCTGTGCCGCAGTTCCCCTCAAGGACATGAAGCTGCTGGACGTGAAGCTGGGCCAGCTGCCCACCTGGCTGGCCATGAGAGACTTCACCCCCAGCGGCATCGTGGGGGCCTTGCGAAGAGGTGAGGAGGGCTGAGGTGGGCCCGCGGCGGGGCTACCCGCTCTGCGGAGACAGCTCCACACCCCCTCGGCCGGCGAAAACCTGGAGAGTGTGAATGCCTTCTCCTGACAGAGTTAGCTCAGTGCGTAAGCATCTCTGGCTGCGGGGGTGGATGTTGGCTGTGGCAGGGGGCATCCAGCAATACAGGGGCTGCTTCAGGGCGATTTTTGCTTTCCCAGAGCAGTGCCTCCTGTAGCATCTTGTTCTCCTATCTTTAAATTTGTTTCTCGTGTGGGCTTTATCTGCCAGAGGTTTGTTTTCAGTAGTCTCTCTTTTATAAAGAGGAAATATGGTGACCTTACACCTGACTCCTGAACCTATTTGCTGAAAATTTTGAGGTTTCCCGACATCACAGGTAAATAAAATTTAAAAAAAGCAGTTGATCCCTGAAGATGACAAGAAAAGACAGAGGGCTTTTATAGAGCGCTTTGACCAATGCCCTTTACTATAGATTCAGATATGGCATTCAGGTAGATTTAAACACAAAATATGAAATACAAGTGTCTACATAACGTATATACACTAGTATGAAAGAACTAGATAATTCCAAAGCGGCTTGAGCTCATGAAAGTCACAGTAATATTTAGGGAAAAAATGATAAAGGGCTTTTTTTTTTTTCCTTTCCTTTTAAGGCTTAGTGGTATTAACTTGAGTATACCTTGCTTAACTAACACATAGGTTGCCTTTTCTCAGACTTGCTCCTGAGACCGTCACATGTTTCATTAGAAACAATTTTCTGAATTTCTGTGAAACCAGGCTGCTTTTTTCTGACACAGAAAAATACGCAACTCATCTGGCTGCTATAAAAACTTTTCTCCAACGCAGGTCATGACAGATACTACAATAAATATATCAATGTCAAGAAAGGGGGCCTTGGTGGTATCTCCATGCTGCTTGCTGGTTATGTTGTTGTGAGCTACATCTGGAGCTACAGTCACCTGAGTAAGTAAAAGCAATATGGCTGAGCGTGTATAGTGCAGCTTGGAAGATTTCTTGGGGCAATAAAACCAAATAATCTGCTGCTGCTTTTAGACATAAAATGAAAGACTGCGCTAACAATTGCTCCTTGAATCCAAACTTCTTTTAGCCATAGGAAACTTAGAATGCTTACTTACTAAGTTATCACATGGCAAATATTTTCTTGGTGATGAAGAAGGCTTAGATCTTGTTGCCTGTCTGACCCTGACAGTACTTAGAAACTAAATGCTCAGATTGTTGGTTTTTTTAGAGTGCTTGCTTTCCTGTAATTTCGGGTGTGGTGTTTTTTTCTCGTGATTTAAGTAGAATTAACTTGCTTTACTTTGAACGATACAGAGCATGACCGCCACAGGAAGTACCACTGAAGAGTGAATTTGAGGAAGTGACGGTACAGCTCTTGGACAGACTTGGCTACTGGAACAGTTCTCCTCATGGAAGACATCAGAACTAGTCATATTAATATCTCTACTATTATGACCAATAATAAAGTGCATACACTTTACATTTACTGTGCTGATACTCTCATAACTGACTTGTTAATTGTACTGTGCAAGTTGAGTTTGTCTTGGAGTTTCACCCCTCAAGGATAAGTTCAGAGATGGTTGGGAAAGCATCCACTGCTTGGGTTGCATTATGAACTGGGGAAAAACTATTACAATTGATTCCTATTTAACTGTTTGATAAAGGTAAAAAGCATTGGATTGCTTCTTAATGGCCATTACGTAGAGGTTGGGCAAGTAGCTGAAAGGGTGTATTTTGATTTGAAAGAACAGTATCTGAGCTTTAGGTGGCTTGGTGTGGCCACATGTTTCTGATTCTCAGGGTGTCACTGAGGGACTGTAGGTATTTGAGCAGTTTTCAATCATTGCAGAGCACTGTCAGATGAGATCGGCTTAGCTTTGAGGAGGTCTGCAACTCTCATTCTGTAACTAGGATTCTAATGCTGATAACCTGAGATTTCTATCAAAACTCTACTTACTTTCATCGCTAAAAGAAGCTGGAAGGTTATTCTGAGTATAAGCCTAAAAGAAGTTTAGGCTATAATGAAGCTGTATGAAATTAAACCAATGGAAATTTTTGCTTCTTGACTTAATGTCTCCTCACCGTTGCATTTACGTGCATAAATGCAGCTTAAAGGAGCATCTGTGGGTTGGGCCCCAGCTGGTGACCTTCCTCGTGCACCTCGCTAAGCAAGTGCATCTCGCTGTCACAATGCTACCTGCGGATGCTTGGAACTGCAACCACCACCTGCAGTTTCCTTTTCTGAATAGGAGAGAGAGTAAAAAACACTTCTTAAGGGATATGAAAAATTTCTCAACAGCTTCAGTGGTAACAGGAGGGCTTCCACTTTTGGCAAACATCTTTTCAGGTAGCGAAGACCATAAAGTCCTGAACTAGATGGGGAAGGTAGCCAGACACCAAGTTGTTTTAGCTCCCCTTCCACGTGCCTAGTTACAGACAGATAGCACATCTCGTAGTTTGCCCACTGTTCAGCCTCTGGGGGCACAACGTGTTATGAAAAGCATCTGATGGTCTGTCATACCATAGTCACTGAGACCTGAGTCTTCTATTTTGACTGACTCCGACTCTCCACAGTGAAATAACTGCGGTCATTCAAACCAATAATAGTCTCCAGTCACTTCTCTTAATCTAGTCATATTACCTTGTTCTTAAAAAAAAAAAAAATTCACAGCCAGCTTCTTCCATCAGTACATTTCAATAAAAACAAAGTATAAAGGCAGTCAGCACATGAGAGATGGGTTAGAATCAATAAGGCTCACATTGTAGGTGCAATTTTTTTTTTTAATTCACATTTTATCATTGGCCCTTTTGAAATAGTCTTCTCACAAAATGAATGGGTTTTGGCTTGCAAAAATTGCTCTCAGAAGAATGCTCTACTGCTTTTAAAAGCAGTGTTCCATAAGAATATACATCTCCACTTCCTGGTCTTCTCTAGGCTATGGAAATACCTGCTCAGTGTGAGCTGGACGATGAGGGGGCTGAGATGAAGATCTTCTATTCCTACTCTTCAAGCCGTGTTCATCTCCCTCTTTGCTTTTTGCAAATGGAAAATGAGCACAGATGCGGGTTGCCTACAATCATTGTTCCTCACTGTTTGGCTAACCACTCAGATGCCGATTTATTCTCCCCTTGATCAGTTCTCACCCAGAAGATTAATTTCTAAACTTTCAGTACAGCAAGAAGCACAGAAACAAAGCAACTGGACAAGAGTTTTACAGCCTGATGTGAGGCATTAAGTCAGCCACCAGGACAAGCTTACTGACTACAACAGGCTGGACCTGGAAACACAAATTTGCTTTTGAAGAGCCACAGGACTGCAGAATCCCTGCTTCCTCACTGAAGGGAAGGCATTTCCAGTATTAGTTTTCCCAGTCAGTCTTCCTGCTTCTACAGAGAGGGCTGAAATACTGCAGGTTCTCCAAAGAGAAGTGGCAGAAGGAAAACACTTTAAAGAAACACTGGTTTACGATGCATTTACGTAGAGTGCTGCACTGGTGCAGGGTTTGCATATCTATCAGCTTTTAGATCTACCTTTCAGCAGGGCTCAATGAAAATATGCGGAGGCCAAAATCTATTTTAAAAAGGTTAAAACATAAAAAAAAGTTGTGGACAATTACAAAAATGTTGCTTAGCAGCAGCCAGCCTCTGACCAGTTCTTTCAGTAATGGCATTAAAAAACAACCTGATTAATAGTTCAAGACATAGTGCTAGGCAGAAACCTTTTCTCAGTGTTAATAGCTCCCTTGCACTCTTCGTTCTGCTCTTTCACTGTCCACTGAGAAAGGCCAGATGTCCTTTGGTGCATCTGTTGGCATAATGACCTTTTTCACCACACTAAAAGAGAAAGAGAGAGAAGAATTATTACACAGTTAGAGCTTTTTTCCTCTAGCTGCCTTTAATAAGGTAGCCAGCAGCTGTTCTGATTTGGAAGCTTTTTCACATATGGAAGATGCAGCATTTAGCAGGTAAAGTGAAACACAGCGTCAGAAGGGACACAATTTATGGGCTATTTCCACTCTTTTGAGCAAAAGCTGTTTGTTTTCTGGGAGCAACCTGACACCATGTTGTTATAAGGCACTACAAAGGAGAGAGCTCTCAGCGTACCACTATGAACAGCAAAGGGCTCTAACACACAACAATTTCAGCATTTGAGGCTTCGAAGACTATTCCACCTGATACACGCTGCATCAGAGATCTGCAGGGACTCTCCTGACCGGCTATCCTGAATTAGAGAAAAGTGCATCTGAACAACAGATTCACGACTTTGCACCTTGAAGCTATTCAAGCCCAGAGAGAAATGCCAGTATCTGGTACAACAGCATTCTCCAGATATGTAATTTACTGGCAGCTAAAATAATAAGCTGCAATTAAAGGTTTTCAGTAAAATGGATTCAGCTACTTAATATCCCGGTCCAATCACAGTGATCTTTACCCAAACAAGCACCTAAGGCTTGTACAATGATGTAACTGTCAAAGCTGATGGGACAGGAGGACTCTGCCTTTGCTAGTGGCTAGGGTTGGGGCTTTTGTGGAAAAAGAGAGATGGAAACTCAGTTCTGTCA